TTAAATTAATGCGTAATTTTTACATTATTGTGCAACTGAACATGTTTACTTTCGTTGTTGTACTATGACACACAAAAATATATTCACAAATCACATCATAGAAAACTTGGAAATGCACAAGTAAATAAATTTAAGCACTTTATCCATATCAGAATCAAGTAATTATTTGAAATATTTTGTTGTTTATTTTTTATATCAATACTTACATATTTTAAAGACTTTAGTGCAACAATAAATAATTTTTTTACATGTCAGTAGACACGAAGTTAACATTACTTAATGTTCACTTCGCGGCCGCTGAGGCTCGTAATGTCGCAGAATAGTAATCAATGCTTAGATCGCAAGTATGCCACCTAAGGCAAAGGTAATCTGGGACATTTTTCATCCTTGCCCCAGGGGCATAGTGTACTATTTTTTTTTACTTCCACGCTTGTTTTAAGGTCTAAAAAAATAAAGATACGTAAAAAAGTTATTATTGCGGTAATTTATGGTTTTTAATACCTTATGTTTTGCATTGGTACGGAAAATTTTTACTATCATTATAATGACAATTATTAAAGGTGATTATTAAGTGTTACAACTAAAAATCAGTGACAACACAGTTGAACTGTTGGTAACGACCATGATGATAATGATGCATACAGGAAAATGAGCAAATAGTACGAAAAGAATCTAGTAAATAGACAATCGTACAATGTAATAGTAACCCTTAACAATAATCGCTATATCTAATAGCTGATTCTCACATGCAGGCACACAGACAGATTTCAACAAGTTGGACGTGATCTTTTTGTCATTATGAGATTTCTTGTGGTCCCTAATATTGATTAAAGACCAAAATTTTAGGAGGTACTTGTTGTTGTGTTGAATTTTTGTTGAATGATGGAGGTTTTACGCTGTGGCACGTTTTCAGGCGTTGGTATCAGAGGTGTTGGTATGGCATCACCAGTTGGCAAAACTCCTGCTGGCTTGGGCTTGGCAGCTAACTTTTGTTTAGCCATCTGATAGTCACCAGAGTCGAAAAATTTTTGCTGGAAGGGATCAAAAGATGTGAGAGAACCGCAGGTGCAGAACTTACGGTCGAGATAAGAGATTATAATAGAAGTAGGCACTTACCCCTTTGGCTAGCCTTTTTTGCAAGAATGCAGAGTGTCCCCCGAGCGGTCTGCCACCTGGCATGTTAGGAAACTTGCTTTTAAGCTTCTCTTCTTCGAGCTTTTCGATGTCATTAGCCGATACCTGGAACAAATAAAGCATGTAGATCTAGCTAAAGTCTTAAAAAATGGTACAGCACAAACAGATAATGCAATACCTCAACGGTCGGCTGGTTGAGATCCTGACCAGCTTCGTCACTCATACTGCAAACTGCGAGTAAACTTGTAACTGAACAATCAGGTAAACGAGCAGTTGTGTGTACTAGCGGCGAACTTCTCGATCAGTTTTAGCTGGTGTGGTTGATCTTGGACTAGTCGATGACGACGCTATTGACTTCAAACGATACTTATACACACACACACCCGTTGAATGAGCAATATAAACCCACTCGCAGCTGATAACGAGAGCAAAGTCACTTCTTGACAGGTAATAACATAGGCAAGTACAAACAAGAGACAATTAGCAAACAGGAACCAAGGCCACCAGTAGCAGTATTATAACCTCAACTCCAACGGTTTGTCGTAATCGCTGACTGGCTGACTTGTGTCATGTGTGTATATATCATATACTTACATCCGCACATGCAAACACTGTATAAACAAACTTCCCTACTTACCTCTTTAGGATGGTAAAAAAGATGTTCTTTATATCGATATTTACTACGGATGGTAATTAAAATTGAGATATGTATATTTGTTATCATCAGTGAATACGAATGAGATTTAACTTATCGATAAGTGGTCACGCTTCTGCAAAATACAAAAAATGCATATATATATATATATTTTTTTTTTTTGCGACGGCGGGGATGCGATGATTTTATTTATGCNCATTTTTTTTTTTTCATGTTTCTCAAATATTGTTTTCCGTAAAAGTTGATTAGGTATTCATTATTTAAAATTTCCATTAATGGTATATTATGTTAATTGTGCCTTGCTTGCGAGACCCCACCTATTTGACAAGAATTCAGGATTCAGTCGCACTTGTTCATTAATTCCTAAGATTTCCCTAATAAGTGCATATGCACTAACTTAAAATTTTCATCATTGGAATAATGTTTAGTACATCATATTATACGGAAAACTAACTTCACCAATGACTATTTAATGTACAATTATAAGCGGTAAAATTAATTATTTTTTATTCTTGAACTTGAAGTTTTATTTCTGTTTTTTAATCTTAAAAATAGTTTTTTCAAAAACGAAAAAGATATTGGAAAATAATGTCTAAAAAATTTACAACTATTCTCGGTAAACTTCTAATATTTATACTAGACGAAAAATAATTTTTTTATTGTTTCGTGTGCACATGGTTTTTTTTCGTTCTGACCATCAGAATCAAGTCTCGGACAAAAATTAATCATAAAATCAATTGATGACAATAGCAAAAACTTTTTTTACAACACACATAAAATAGTTCTAAAGCGTAAGTTGAAGTGATTCAGAAACTACGTATCATATTTATATTACGCACACTTTTGTATTTTTATGTACAGATACAAGAAAATTATTAAACTTACACATTACGTCTTTTTATTGCAGAACTCTGCCCTAAAGTTGTACAGTATGTGTCTACGTATACAAGTAATTGACAAAAAAAAAAAAAAAAAAAAAAAAAAAAAAAAAAAAGAGGGAAGGGAAGTTATGATCGGTCGCTCCCACGCCTATCTAATCAATATCAAGGCCAATGACTCTTGCAGTGCAGCACCTACGCTGTACGCATCGATGATTCGATGATGGATTTGGTATTTCATGAAAGGCGCTAAATCATGTATAATATCTAATCGACGTCCAATACTGAAGAATATGACTATCTGAAACGAAATAAGACTGCTGAAATGCTTTTTTTTACAATAATAATCATATGAACAAAAAAAAATTGCAAACAGTAATTTCTTGGATGCGTTAAAAAGATGTTTTGGAGGGAAAAAAAAAAAAAAAAAATGGTATACGATGGAAATGTTTAACAACTTTTAATGCAATTTTAAATTTATAATTTCTATCCGAGAGGTGCGAGACAAGTTGATTAATTTTTATGTATTTAGTTTTCGTTATGGTTTTATCGCCGTTTCATCAGAAACAACAATGCCTGTCCGTGCTTTCTGACTCCGTCAACAGCTCCCCTTATTAACTTTATATTTGCAGATCCACACATTAAATGACATTTTCATGAAAGTTTGTACTTTATGGTCGAAAAAACCATTAGAGGAGAATAAAAGTGCCCTTTTACGTGTATGAATGCGCTATTGCTTTGTCCAGGCCCCTTATTACTCGCGTCTCCTTTACCACGACGTTTTCACTTAAAGAAACAATATCCGTTAAAAGTGTCGTGAAGTGCAGGTAAATCAACCGATGAATTAATAATTTTTGAAGCAGTGAAGAACAGAGAGAAAGAGAGAGCCATTATTTTCATCCCTTGCAGAAGAACTGTGCATCAGATATGCGTATTCATTTCGTATAGTAACCGTATACTTACTTGTGAGGTTGAAATAAATTGGGTGAGCAATGTGGGAACCAACATTCGGGAGAGTAAGGTCTGCAGGGGTTGGCCGAAAGTGGCATGGTATAAGTATAAAACAATAACGTATATTAGCGCAGTAAACACAGTTGGCGGCGCAGGCCCGTGCCCTATATAGCTCCTAACACTCTTTTCTTATTCGGAGAGAGAGAGAGAGAGTCGGGCGCGAAGAGCGCGAAAACGTAATATACACACGAGCACCGAGCGCGCGTATATAGGTGTCGTCTGCGCTGCACGCAGTCAGTGAGTAGCGTCGAGTCGTGCTCCTCTCCCCGGTTCGGTTAAACACAGCACTGCATAATATTATAATATTTATCCGTACCCATACATATACACGTAAGTATAAAGTTGTTTCTCTCGCGAGTCGCCGGAACATTATTGTACATGTACTTTTTAACCACAATGTAGGTATATACATTACCATGAAGTCTCTGATGTAAGACGGTGCCGTGCACCCTCGACATCGAGGAGGGGCATCCGAATCGCAGCAGCTCATCACACCAGGTATCGCGATCACTTTTCAATAAGCTGTTTTGTTTTTTGCCGCTACTTGCCGTATATACCACCAATCATTCATTTATGAGCCTATACTGTTATATTGGATTGGGCGTTTTAACGCATGCCCGATGTGCGAGAGAGATGGGAAGAGCTGTAGGAGGAGGAAGGCAGAGCCTTATCGTTATCGCAAGAGAGAGAGAGAGGGGGGATGGGGTATAGCGAAGCCAACGAGCATCAGACGCTGCACCTGCGCGACTCGTTGTTGTTGTTGTTTTGTATTATATTCTACCTGCAGCGGTTTATGACCTATACTCTGATGGCTTATCGGCAGCTCTTATCTCGTATATCTCTCTCTCTCTCTCTTTCTGACCTCTGCGTCGGATTGTCGCCTATTATCACTGTACGCCTACATACTTTTTTTTTCTCCACTTCATATACCTTGTACGTAAGATTATAAAACACACAAGCTTAGATATTTTTTATATTATGCAGATAATTAACTCGATTCTTGCGTGCAGACAAATTACAGGATTAGGTGTGCGCGAATGTATAGATATAAACAGGTGTGTTATTTCATGGATATCGAGAAAAAGTGTGTAGATGTAGATTTAGATTTTTACCGTTGGCCCATCACATCTGCGGCGCAATGCAGCGTAAGTAGATATGAGTATATAATACTGCGTGTTCACAAAAATATACATTGCAAGCTATCTTATTATTATTTTCCCCAAGTACTTACGAATTAACTGTCAGCTGTGTCGATGACAATGTGCATTCTGTCGCTCGTTACATTTCAAATATTAATAAACACCGTGCAATTTTGATTATAATGACTGCAACCGCATCCAGTGTCGTATATATACGTATCAAGAGCGAGTAGACAATTAACAATACTGCAGGTGTACGAGTGTGCATGCAGGTATACCGAGGCTTGTCCCACGGGACGATTAAAAAAATCGTCAATAAGCCGCGCGATCTCTGACATCTCTGCGCAGGAACCATCGGTGCAGCATCAGGAGGTTTTATGACAACTTTTGCATATATACTTACTATGCAGAAAATCACCTGGCGAGGGTCGGCCGTTGATGGTTACCCACGAAAATAGCGCTGATGATATTATACCTAAATTAAACATATACATATATTATACAATGCATACGGACGTCCGCTACGGCCAGCAGAGGGTCAAATTTGAATTTGGCTCGGGCGTATAAGTTAGGTATAGTAGTATTATACATACCTGTAACATATATTAATAATTAGAAGCAGATGATGCTATTATAATATGTATTGGTGTGTATATGGTATGTGCAGAGCAGCATATCCATACGTGTAGAGCCGATGGCTATATACAGGAGATAGGTATTTTTTTCGGTGGCAGGCATCAGAGTAGGGAGAGGAGGCGATCGTATGTGTATGTATATGTATATATATATATATATATATATACGTTCCGCGAGAGCAATAAGCCACAAGGAGTGGCGGTCCAGCAGAAGCGGACCAGAAAAGGAGGAGAGTATGGGTATATAGGTTGGTAAATATATACATATATATATATGTATATATATATAAGCGCGCTCGAGGCGAAACGAGGCGAGGCGCATCGGCCTGCTCTCTTTAAAGCGTTGGGCGTTCACCCCGACCTCGGCCGCTCACTTTGCTCTCTCTCTCTCTCTCTCGTTCAACTCTCATTTTGCTCCTTTCTTTCATCCTGCTTCCGCGCCAATCTGCTCGTATCGGCTGCTGTATATACACAAGAGGTCTACTACTGCCCATCCTCGCGTGTCCGTCGCCGCGTCCGCTGCATCAGGACGATTGCAGCCAGGCCAGCTCCCTCTCTCTCTCTCTGCTCGACGAGCCAACAGGTTCTGCCGGCCGGCGGTTTTTTCGGCCTCCCAACTGCTCCTGCAGCATCTCAGGTAGCAAGTGCACACGCTCGGACGTCCGGGGCCACTATACATTTTACACACACGCACACATATATATATATATATATACAACCAAGTTGAAAAGACGCTGCACGCGCGCGTAAGATGTATCAATGTATAGGAGCTCTTGCGTGGGTGCATTGTATACATATAATATATATATATANTCATTTTGATTATTTTCTTCTTCTTCTTCTTCTAATCCATAAAAGATAGACATACGTATAGGTATTATACATGTGTGCATGGGTGACTACACGTGTATCGGTTGTGGTCGCGGTAGGGAATTGCTGCATCAGGTACAACAGCGGGGGTATATATATGCATATATAGGTATGCGAGCAAGAGAAGCAGAAGTTGAGAAGGAGAGTAGAGATATATATATATAGGTGCACGCCGGTCAGCCGTTGTAACTCTATACACCCATGCTCTTTTTTAGAGCTTATGTATATAGATACGCGCATATGTGGCTAGCTGGCGATGCTCCAAAACCAGAGAGACATTCAGCCTCTGACCTCACTCGAAATAACCCCCGCTCGATTTCTCGGCGGGCAAACCCATCAACAATCCGCTCTCGTGGAAATATTACCTACATATATGTATATATATATATATACACGCACACGTGACTTTTCTATTTCCGAATCGCACCACTGGCATCATTTTTCCTCGTGTAGGTATGTGCTTTTCCCTCGAGCGAACAGCGCATGTGGTCCAACAAACAACACAATCCGGTAATAAAGTTGCAGGCCACGGTATACATGCATAGGAACGCAAATTTTAGCCGATCGGGGAGGCGCTGAGGGTTAAATTAACAATACCCCTCCCCCCCTCCCTTTGCCCCTGCACCCGGTCGTACTGGAGATAAGTTTTAATATGTACCAACTTCCATTAAGATGCAAATTGGCCGATGCTGCGCTTCCGATTGAAAAAGAGAGAGAGAGAGAGAGATGGGAGCGCAGGGATTTTTCCAAAACGAGTTGTACAGCGGTTCGTGTCGTGCGTGTGTACATATGGCCATCTCGGGAGACTTGGTTGGCGCCTACGCTGTGAATTCATTAGCCACGCAGGCGATTTAATTGCTTCTCGCGCTATACTTCGTTATCTCTCCTCTCGGAGCCAACTTCCCCGGTCTGCCGCTGCTTTCCTTTCTTTCTTTTTTTTTCTTTTTTTTTTTCCCCCTCCCTCATTCGTGTCGCTTCCTTTTTTTCACTCACCCCCCCCCCCCCCCCTCTTTCTCTCCCTCGAGAAGTTCAGTTCGCAGCAGGCTACCGCGCCCGCTACCGTTGCGACCGGCTATATTCGCTGCATCGTATAACCCGTCACCCAATATATTATATTATCTCTCGTACAGCTTCTATATAATATTATGTACTTGTATATAAAATATAATATTATGTTGTTCGCCGATGCCGATGAGACTATATATATGGTATATACAGTTGCGGCTACCGCGAGCAATTTCGGATGCCCCTCGCGCTTTTACCACCACCATAATATATTTATGATACGACTCGTATTACTCTTCATCCACACTCTCATTCATCGATCCTTCGATCGTCTATTTTGCTTTTCGTGCAATTTCGATTTTTTCAATAATGGGTATACACCCAATACACCACCTGCACTTACAATTCACTCTTTGGACCGTCGAAGCAATTTTTCAAGCGTATACATACACGTGTGTACATAAATATATCTATAAATATATATGTAATCGCGCATAGGTAACTCAAATACCCCAAGACATACATTTTCCTTGGATTAGACTATAGGATTTAATTTGATAGTTTCGGTTTCATGTACCTGCACCTGTAATGGCTCTGCACGTGCAGGCACAATATCGACAATAATTCATCGTAAGCTCCTATACGAGGGGGGGAAAAAAAAATTATTGCTCATTGCAAATCAATATTCTCAAGTTGCAAAAAATATTATTACAAATGATAATCAACGATTGAGAGGTGGCTGACTCGAGCAGTATGCAATATCACAAAGTTGCATTGTATAAATAAATAAAGGCGTATTCAGTAAATGTATATAGGTATATGCGTACGCCATTCAAAAGACCGTATAGCCCATATGTGTGTATATTATATACGTGTATATACGACATTGCGGCGGCAACAGGTAAACGGCAGCCCGAGAAGCAGCACCGGTGGACTGGTTAATTGGCCTTGGCTTGGCAATAATTAGTAATTACAGTAGCTCGCGCGGCTAGCCAACCCTTCCGCGCGCTCAGCGGCAATCACGCTCTCTCTCTCTCTTAGGGTATACCCATCATGTATATATATACCATAGCTCGCGCGCGCGCGCACGTGCCTCAAGTTTTTCATTAATGTTCAGGTAGTCGCTGTAGGTATATATTATATACACACGCTGAAAAACCGGTCGGAATCCCCGTATACCCACATATACATGTAGATGTGTGCTTCCTCTCTTCTTCATTTCTCCATATATACATATATATGTGTGTTTCGCTCGGGGGCTCGGATTATTTTTTATTCGCTGTGACGACTCGCGAATTTATACCTGCCATGCGTGCATTGGTAGAATATACCTTGCGGATTAAGGGTTCGTACACAAGGGTTTGTGAATTTCTAGTGGATATATTATTACTTCCGAGACCGCAAAAATCGGTACCCATACCGATCTCGCGTCACTCTTATTCTTCATCAATAAAAATAACAAAAGCTATATCGGGTGTTTTTTTGCCATTGAAAACGCCTTGCGAACGAGAATGTCGGTGCCTATTTGTCCTAAATCGTGTGTATTATACATGTATGGAGTTAACCAAACGATCAACCGATTTCTCACTCGCAACGAGTTGTTTTTCCAAAAGTTACACGCATAGGCACGTGTATAATGTATGTGTGTACCGATGTAAGTACGAAGAAAAAAGAGCCGAGAGCTCGAGTGCAGGATCAGCAGCCTAGAATGCGCGCAAAAGGTGGAGCATATAATATATACGTACACGTATATACCGTACCACCCTGCTCTTACTCGACTGAAATAAAAAGGGTATAAGTGCAAGAGCAACAGAAGCTGGCGTGCTCGGTCCGTACTAGCGATATCTCT